GCTTGGGTAGCAGAGCTGGGGGGCAGGGGCAGGAGGGGGATCAGATGCAGAAGGGGAAGGGGGGGCTGAGGTTGCAAGGGTCAGGTACAAGCAGGGGGAAAGCTGCAGGGGTGCTATACCCCTCTCCCCCCTGTCCCTTGCCACCTATCCCCCTACAATGGTGGAGGGACAAATTAAAGATGACCCCTCAATAATTAGATCGTATACATGGAAAATTATAACAAATTTATAAATTTTCCATGCATAAATTCTAGTTTTTGAGGGTCATCTTAAATTGAGGGTCATCTTAGATTTGATTAAATATGGTAGCAAGCAAATATAAAATAACATATTGTGCCCTCCTGTATCTTGCCAAAGTGACATAAATATGGCTACTTTTCCAATAAGAAGAATGACCTACACGTATTTATTCTCAGGTTCTCCAAAGTCTGTCCTCTGGAACTTGTCATGTGTACGGGATCTGAATAATTTTCAGATTCTATTTCAACAACAGCTATATTTGACTCTGGTGTACATAGGTTTACCTTCCTTGGACTAAAATAGAAGCAGAACTAACTTACTCCAGAGATGAATTTAATAGGACTACTGTTATTACAGAATAAAGAATAGATTTTATAGTACTTACTGCAATTTTCCTCATCAGATCCATCCCCACAGTTATCCACAAGATCACAAACCAATGAACTGTCTATACAAGCCCTCGTGTGTCTGCACCAGAAATGATCATGAGTGTCACAGCTTACTGCTGGAGGTGGAAGAGCACAGTTCTCAAATATTATGTCATCAATCGCTGAAATACCATCATAAAACCCAAGGCTAATTTTATCTAATGATAACTGGAAAGGCCAAGGGAGGCGGCCAAGCTGAATGAAGGCCCTTAACCATTGATAACCCTGATTATAGTATACCCTCCAGAGAACAGTGGTGTCCTTCAGTCCATCAATGTGCAGTTGCATTTCTGCTGCTCCAACTGAGAGACCATAATTGTAATACCTTTAGAAGAGAAAAAAGCAGAAAAGTCAAAGGTATAAATGATGAGAACAAATTACTTTACATATACTGACCAACATCTCCTTTGTTATAACTCCATTTAATTTAATGGAATGAAGTAAGCCCACAAAGCTTACATCCATCTCAGAGGCAATTCACTTCATTCTCTATATGATCTCATTGTTATACCACAGATATATTAGCTTATCTAATTTTTGACAGCATTGGGTGGTGTGTGAATCTTGGTCTTTTCTGAAGCAGTTAAGACGGGGATGGAGGAAGCATACTTAATTAAGATATAATCCACAACTAGATAGAGACATTTTTCTTATATTAAGCAACGATCAGGGCTCACTCAGATGCAAAATATTACCATTATGAATTTAATTCAAGGAATAATTTAAAAGTTTCAACAAAGGAAGGACAAACATTTAATGAATGCAAGAACATGCTTTCAATCCATAGTAATGATTAATACTACTTTACAATTCTACTGCACTTCTCATTGAGGATCTCCAAGCACTTTTCTAAACATAAAACTTCCAACATAGCTGTGAGGTAGGTAAATACTGCTAAGATGGCGAAAACTATCTAACCCTTCAAGTCACAAACAAAAGCCTTGACATGGCCAAGAGATGCAAGAGACAAACTTAAGATATACATACCTCAAAGTCAATTATCTGTGCCCACTCAGATAACAACTTGTCAGAGCATGATTTTTCAGAATAAAAGATAGGTAGGCAATGAGGAAAATACTACTTCTCTTTCTTCAGGAGCTAAATTTAAATTGCACTGAAACATCTTGTTTACTCATGAGACCTCTGTTCAGCTATCCCTGCACTATACCTATCTGACATGCAGAAAAACAGACAAGTGAATGGTTCAAATGTTGCACAGAAGGCAAAAAGGCAGGACAGGGAACACAACCAAAAACTCCTGATGTGACATGTTTACTAGGTCTGTGCAATGTGGCTAGTATTCAATTTGGATTCAGCCAATCTGCGGGACAGTGATTCAATTCAGTGATTCGAATCACTGTCCCAAATTGATTCAGCCAAATCTGATTCAGAGATTTGGCCACCACCAAATCAACCAAAACTCTGAATCAAACAGGCCCCATACCCCCCACAACACACACACTCTCCCAGCCCCATCAGTGGCTGCCCTGCCCAGCCCCAGCCTCCAGGCTCTTTAATAAAAAAAGAGACCGGCACTCACCAGCTGCTGCCAGGCGGGAGGCAATCTCTGCTGCTCCCCCACTACCTCCCACTGCATGGGGGGCTCTGTCATGAGACATATGGGCAGTAGTCTTGCTTAGTGGTTAAACCACCAGACGAGGGCCAGAGACAGGGCCAGAGTTCAAAACACAGCCTGAATCTGGGGTCAGAATTGTGGCAGGAAGCCATCTTTGTTTCTCCCCAAAATCTCTGTGCTGTGACAATGCGATTAGGATGGGCCCAGCAGAGGAGACACACCTTTACCATCTCTCTTTAGGTAACCTGAGCTGGCTACATTCCTGAGGGAGGGGGGAAACCTGCTCCCTCTGCCTACGTGATTGGCATCACCTACCTGGGTTGAGGGGCTTCTACCTGGTGGGCTAGAGTCTCCCCAGTAACTAGTGATGTATTTCAAATTGGTTGGCTGACAGCCAACACATGCTGGCCTCCATTGGACCAGGTGAATGAGGTCACAGGGGCTATATAAGTTAAGACTGCCCAGGAGGAGGGGGCAGCAGCCATGCGGGGGACTCAGACTTAGAGAGGAGTTTTACCATCTGAAACTGGCTCTCTCCCCCATAACTCATGAGCTAGGAACAGCCTGTCTCCAGAGGGAATCTTCAACAGCCTCTGGATGATGCTTGTAGTAAGCTACTTGATATCTGATTAGCTATATAGCTGGAAGTAAGTCAGATGCATGATCAAAAGCCTACCTCAGCCAGACTGTTTT